TTAAATCAGTTGTACAGTAGCTGAAAAAGCTTAAACTAGCAGAAAGATAGCTGAAAAGTACAGCTATCTGAAAAAGCAGAAAAAGGCTAAAATTAGCTAAATAAAACCAAAAGAACGCAGCTGCTAAATTAAGCAGAATAACTGCTGAAATGAACTTAAATTAGCTAAAAAAAAAAAAAAGTTCAAACAACTACGTGTAAAGATAGCAGAGGCAACAGGTCCTGGATGGAAACCCAGACGTCCATCCCCAAGAGACCCTGTCCAGTTCCTCCTGGAGGATCTGAAGGTGTACCCCCTCCCTGCAGGCAGCGAGGTGCTATAATCCCTTCAGATCTGGATCTTCCTCCAGCGTCTCAAATCCAAATCAAATCAAACCAACAAATGACAGTTTCAGTAAAGTATTTTTTACTCAATAATAAATATTATGAAAAGGAAAATGCAGTGAAGTAATTTCTTCAGATACATGACTGGGTCTGGTGGATGGAGGCTGTTTGAGGAAACATGGTGTTTGTGTTGCTGCAGTGTGAGGTTCGGCAGTAAAACACTTCTGACAGCCGGCGTGGCAAATCCACAGGGAGACTCACCCCCGACACTAACGCTGAGTTAGGAGGGAGGAGGGGGCAGAGGTCCAAGTGCTGCAGGAGGATGAAGGAAACATGTTTCACTCTTTTTTTTTTAACAACAAAGGAATGTTAGTGTAAAATGTAGTTGCACATTTTGAAAAACTGATTTTCTGTCAGTTTGGTCAAATAAATGATCCAACATGCTTAATGGTTGGATTTTTTTATTTTTATTTTTTAGATTATCAAACTTGCTCCTGTTTAATCTGTTTAAAACCATGATTATTACGAAATAATAAGATATTAAATGTGTTAACATTTACCTGATAAGGTTTTTAAAAGAAGTGTTTGGGTGAAAACTGGGTCTCATCATAAATTGAATTACTTTGCAGCAATAACTGGAAACTTTATGTATAAATCTTATTTTGTTCACCCAACTATATATTTTATCAGAGTAATGACATTTCTCAGTGTATAATCTTAATAACATGAGTGGAGCAGTTAAAGAACCAGAGGCAGGATGGAGGCAGGGTCAGCAGCTTTATAACGTCATGGACACAAATATTTCAAGCAGTCAGTCAGTCTGACTGTCAGAGCTTCCTTCTGCCTCAGCTCTCACTTTAATTATACTTTATTGTTTAATTAACCACTGAGAACAAGAATTAACAGCTTTTATTTAAACTATTCTTTGACTTTCACAGGATGGAGCTGATGCCTTGCAGAGAAGTAAGTGTTTTTTATAATTTAAAAAAGTATTTACTTTTATTGTACTGTCTTATTTATCTTAATATGATTGTATTTAAGACAATTTAAACCCAAATAAAGGTAAATAAATTAATAAATTCAAACTTAATACACCACTTTGGTAAACCTGGGTTTTTATAATTAAATGATCTAAAAAAGAAATTATCCATTGATAAGCATTTTACAATGTTGGATTTTACTGAAATTGGTACTAAAGTTAATAATTTATTGTACTTTATTGCATTTTTCTATAAATCCTTTTTACTGTTATGTTCTTTGAATAATTTTAAAGTGCTACACATTGTAAACTATTAAACCTTTTTATAATATTTTAATTTGATAGAAACTGGTACTTTCAAAACTATTTCATGTTTATTGTCACAGATTATTTTTAAAGGTTTAAAATCTCATAGTTTTAATATTATTGTATTTTTTCTACTAAATATTTCATACTTTACATTGTTGTGTGCCAATGCTTTTTAATTACTGATTCAAAAATCTATTTTTGTTGTTTGCCTTACTGTTTTCATTAAACTGTACCGTAATTTTTTCTCTAGATCGGAGGGGGTCACACTCATTTTCATTTAGGGCAACATGAGGATTATGATGGCCCCCCAAAGGGCCACTTGTATTTAACTTAAAACGTTTTGTGTTTAACTTTGATATGAAACACAACTATCGAACAATAACTGAGCTCTACCTGGTATTTCCTGCATAGAAACAGTATTTTAACATGTCTTCTTATAACTGAAAAGTACTACGACTGACTAAGTGTAAAATAAATACTACAGAAATACTATTAAAAGTAAAAGTAAGAGTTTTACTCACTGTTGAGTTGTGGTGAGTAGCACCTGTCTTAAATTCAGAAAATTCTAACAGGAAATTCCCACTGAAAGAGGATTCCAATTTAAATTTATGACATTTAAGTGGGGAATTCCTACTTCCCAGTACAGCTGTGGCAAATTTCGTTGGCTACTTTTGAACCTTGTGCACCTCCATCTAGTGGTGGGCTGCCGTCATTTTGCGGGGTAAAAAATTGACATGCATGATGGGAGATGTAGTTTATGGTCATTGCTGGCTTTAAAGCAGCCTCTGCTTATTTAAAGACATTTCTAAGTATTTGAAGCTCTCACGGGCCACATAAAATGCTGTGATGGGCCATATCTGGCCCGCAGGCCTTGTGTTTGACACATGCTCGAGATGAACTGCAGTTCCAATCTTAAAATAAGGATTGATTATAAAAGATAAAATATTAATAAAATACAGTAAATCTTACTGTGTATTATTCAACATTTATTGCTGTTTATTAATCTTGTTTCAGGAGATGAGCTCGATGACTGAACTGAGTCAGAACTCTGCTGGCTCCAGCTGTGGTGGGTCTAAAACACTAAATATATGTAAACATTAAATATTGTAACTGAACTGACTCTGTGACCACTCAGGTGCACAGCAGGTGTCTGACTGGTGTCCACCTCTCCAGCAACAGTACCACAGTCTGACCAGCAGGGGGCGAACCAACTCCACACACACTCAGGAGGGTGTAAGTGTTCTTGTATAACTACGATGTGGGGCCTCAGCTCTGATTGCTGTCACAGAGTTTTATGACACGTTTGGGTTTTAATTAAAATATATGTAAGATTTTATTTCTAGTAGAAGAAGGGTAGTGGCCGTTGTTCCTTCTGAGAAGCGTCTCTGTTTTTCTTTTTCCCCTTTAAGCCAGTATGTTCCCTTTCTGACACGATCAGCGTCACATGAGGTCCAGTGACGGGTTAGCTGCCCCGAGGCTGCGTGCATTTGTCTGATGTGATGACCACACTGAGCTGTCGTTTCGCCTTGTAACAGCTGAGTTTAAGAGCTACAAGCTGCTTTCTCTTCCTGTTTCAGTCAAAACTGCTGCTAACGGTCAGAGGACAAGACGCCTCATAAACTGAGTTATAATTGTGACTCTACGTTGCCATCTAGTGGTCATTGTGTCAACTGCAATACGTTAAGCTAATGCTAATATTAAAACAGTTAACTGCTCCTCTATCTGCAGTCGTCCGTCCATCCTCTGGTTCCCCTCCTCATCTACAGCGACACGCACCTTCCACCTGTCGCTCCGTACAGCCAGCCAATCAGTGAGCCTGCTGTCGACCCTCCCTCCTGGACACGCCCCTATTGCCATGACAACAGTGTCAGCAGGTGAGTCTGTGAGAGAGTCGAGGTTTAAAAATTATAAATTTGTTTGCTTCAGCTCCTTTCTTAAAAACAAGTGTGTTCACATCTCTCCCACCTGTCTCACCTGTTTCTCACCTGTCTCACCTGTTTCTCACCTGTCTCACACCTGTTTCTCACCTCTCTCACACCTGTCTCACACCTTTCTCACCTCTCTCACACCTGTCTCACACCTGTTTCTCACCTCTTTCACACCTTTTTCTCACCTCACTCACACCTGCTTCTCACCTCTCTCACACCTGTTTCTCACCTGTCTCACGCCTGTTTCTCACCTGTCTCACGCCTGTTTCTCACCTGCTTCTCACCTGTCTCACACCTGTTTCTCACCTGTCTCACACCTGTTTCTCACCTGTCTCACGCCTGTTTCTCACCTGTCTCACACCTGTTTCTCACCTGTCTCACACCTGTTTCTCACTTATCTCTTCTGTCTCACACCTGTTTCTCACATCTCTCCCACCTCTCTCACGCCTGTTTCTCACCTCTCTCACGTCTGTTTCTCACCTGTTTCTCACCTGTCTCACACCTGTCTCACGCCTGTTTCTCACCTGTCTCACGCCTGTTTCTCACCTGTCTCATGCCTGTTTCTCACCTGTCTCACGCCTGTTTCTCACCTGTCTCACGCCTGTTTCTCACCTGTCTCATGCCTGTTTCTCACCTGTC